CCTCTCAATATTTTCCTACCGAACTGGGATATTTTATTGCGAATTCAACAACGCATTTTCTTGATAACTTGATATTTTTCGTTCGAAAAAGTAACTTCTTCATAATAATTTTGAATAAAATTCAGCATAAATACTATACGGTCGAGAATCACTAACTTATTTTGTATGAATACTTGATGATTTAGGTATTTCCATTTCCGTCCACACCCCGCGGTGATAAAGTTTTTCTCCTTTAAAATTAATATGTTTGACAACAATTTAAACTATCTATAGCTTTCAGTGGCTGTGGAATACCATCTGCTGATGCAGGAACTTTCATTCCTTTCGATCAGGCGCTGACCCTGCAAATGAAATTTTTTATCACGGATAAGTACACAGTATCAGCACGCACTTGGAGTAGGCATGTAAACGTCCCCTTGTATTCGTCTCCCTCGGGCATGTAAACGATGTGGGACGAATCTGATGGAGAATTTCCGCAACACTCAGCCTCTCAACGGGCGCGCTGTAAGAAATACTACGGAGCTTAACTTTTTAAATTTAAAATTATGAATGGTTTTACAATGAACAACTGATAGCCAGACGAACTTTAATAACCACATTAAGCAAATGAAACGTAATATTAAGGAGCCCTCAAACATAGTCGATAGTATGAGCAAGTCCTATGTATTCGGTGATCCTCGTCTTATTATTCTTTATTCTAAATAAGTTTCGGTAATTCAGACTGGTAATTCAAATTAACAAGGATTACATTATCGAAACTTTTATTCCTGTCAGCCGCTGGCACAAGGACGCCCCAAGTTCTTGTTGCGGTGTAAATTAGAAGCTCTATGTCCGCTTTAGGTTCCGGTTGCCGGAGCGAAATAAGTGCCGAAATGGAATCTTGTGAAATTATCCGTCGAGCTAGGGGCGATCGTGGGGTGCGCGTATTTGGTACCCGATACGTTCGGGACAGACACGGCCGAATCTGAAAAATGCGTTAAAAAAATGCTCCCTCCCTTCCCCCCTTATGGGGGTAAGGGAGGGGGCATTTCAATCTCTGTACGTTATATATATATGCAGTCTATATAGTACTACTCGCTTAGTTTCAAGATCAGAGCACAGTCTATCAGAGACTCAATTTCATGCAAAGANCAAACTACCTCTCATTGCTTTGTCTCAAGCCGGGTAGTTGATAACTAACCTCCCACCCCTTATAAGGGAGTATAAAGGGGATTGTTTTGGTACCCCTGCCTCTGAAACGTTGGTGTTTTAATGAACACACGCAATACACGCATCTCGACGTACAAGCAATGCACGCATGTTCATGTACCCATATCGCAAGGGAGTTCTCACAAGAGTAACGATAGAGTGTTCACTGAAACGTATCGCAAGAGTCTTGATATGAACGCGCGGCATGCGGGTCGAAGACAACGCAACGCACGCGTGTTAGCACGCGTAATGGTCGCGTGCCGACGGATAATCATTGCACGCGTAATGAAGCCCGCGCAAACGCTGGCGCGACCCTAAAATTTATTTTCAAAATATTGTCCCAAAAGTTTTGAAGCGGTTTGCGTGAGCCAAAAAACATTCAAATCAAGAAAACGTAATGCCCACACGTTGACGTACACGCAATGCATGAGTGGTGAAACCCACGCGTTTAGAAACTTGTGCGCCTACTCTTAATTACATCGTATATGGGTTTTTGAATCAGAGGCTTGTCACGCTCGTGCTAAGAACTCATGCCAGCTACTGAGCAGGGCAAGACAATGGTGGCCTGACCAGCCACTGATTTCGTGTGTCATTTGACCCTTATATTTTTTACCATGGAACTATCCAAAATAGCACCTTTTGGGAGGCTGATTAGGGGAGGCGGCCATCTCATATCTGATTCATCTCTACTCCGAGTGCGGCAACCGAAAAACGAACGATAGCCGCGCCTAAATTTTGACAGGGTACGCACTGAATTTTACAGTGGCCCTTTAATTTTGACGTGTGTAAACCAATATCGAAGAGAAATTCTATTAAATTCACGTCTATAAGTTTGAAGCTAGATTTAATTCACACATTTCGACTTTCGAAAAATTGCGTTAGGGTAAACTTTGCATAATTAGGTCGAGTTTTGATTTTTTTAATCTAGTTCCCAGCTTCCAAGGCCCCATGATTCCAACGCCGTAAGGGAAATTTCAAGCCGTTCGCGAGATATATTCTGACATGGCAGTTACTAAGATAACATTCCCGAATTATTCCGATATATTCAAAGTGTCAGGCTTCAGACACATGAACCAAAAATATTGACAATATTTAAAAGAACTCTATTATAAATGTCAAACGTGGCATTAACAGATCTATAAGTCGTTGAACCGGTGAATGCCAACAAATTGCAATGGTCGATAGATCAACAACTGCTCTCAAGGGTCAACAATCAAGGATCAAAAACTGCTCTCAGCAAGCCTCTGATTACTCCTAGCTCTGAGTAGTTCTGTAACCCTTGGTCTTGTGATGATGAATAAAAATCTTTCTCCTGTTTGTGGGAAGGTTAGTCCAGATTTTAATTTGAATGAAGCATGCAGCTGCATGAAGTGCAGCGTGCAGCTGCATGAAGTGCACCATGCAGCTGCATGAACTGCAGCGTGCAGCTGCATGAAGTGCTGCGTGCAGCTGCATGAAGTGCACCATGCAGCTGCGTGAAGTGCAGCATGCAGCTGCATGAAGTGCAGCATGCAGCTGCATGAAGCGCAGCATGCAGCTGCATGAAGTGCACCATGCAGCTGCATGAAGTGCAGCATGCAGCTGCATGAAGTGCAGCATGCAGCTGCATGAAGTGCAGCATGCAGCTGCATGAAGTGCAGCATGCAGCTGCACGATGTATAACTTCATTTGCTGCTGTTCTAGCAGCTGATGTTGACGTGGCCGACGTATAACTGTTGATATAATCGTATCTTCCGGCGTAATCGTCGCTGTATTTTTTTATCGTTCGTATTGAACATATAAAAATGCAATTTATTAAGATTTTTCTTTCAATTATAAATTGATTTTTTATACTGATTCAATTTGCTCACTTATTAATTTACTTACCTACTTTACTTATTTATACTGATTCATTTTACTTATTTACTTAATTTACTTACCTACTTTACTTATTTAAACAGATTTAACTTTTCTTAAATGTCATCGAGGTCCGAATTGAATGCCAAAAGAACTTTAAGTAGGTACCATCTCACCCAACGCTGCAAGAGCATCATTTCTCACCACGATTACACCTCCCTCATCACGCTCATGCATGTCACCTCCTAATGTTTTTCCTAACAATTGTTTGTCTAGCAACTCTTTCCGTTCTCGATAAATTCTACACCGCTCACTGTTAGAGGCGTAGTTCGGTAAATCGTTAGGTCACGCGAAAAAGAAATGAAAAAACGGCAACATTTTAGAAATCCGAATTCCACGACTACAAACATTCTTGTAATGCGTTATGTAAAATTTATTCGTTCACAAGGGTTTGAAAACGCGAATATCCTTCAGCTTCTTATTAAAATCGGTTGCTGTGAAACAAAATAAACGATAGTAAAATAATTGATTATAAAAATAGTATTGCACATGCGTAGACGAGTAAAATAATTTCATTCGAACGCGAACGTATAAGTCCTGAAAACTCTTGTAAATATTCAGAACATGATTCATGATTAAAAGACGTACCAAATATTCCTCTCGACCAGGTAAGTCGTGAGCCAGCATCGAACTAAACACAAATACGGGGATTAACATAGACTATAACTAAGTTGTGTTCGACATACACGCACCATAACACGTTGGCCGCGATGTGCGCCATATATGTACACGCTGTACTTGTCAGAATCGCGATGTGTACACATATGGTACATGCCAATGAAAAATACATATTTTTATAATATCTCGTGTACCCTATACCAGTGCGATATTCTTTTAAAATTTATATATAGGTAAGGCATCACAAGTTTAAAATGCATTTAATGTCACCTCAAACACAGTCTTTGACCTGTGTTTTAAGACTGAAATGAGCTACTAAAATTGCAGTCAACGGCAAAATTTCAAATTTTGTTTTTGTACTTTATGGAAGTCATCAAAACCTTCTGCACACATCAGAAATATACAAATTAATTATGAATTACGACGAATAAAATATTATTGAGGTATTGGTCACGATTAAGATTTGACAAAGGCAATGCGGTTTTTTGTTAATTTAGATTCTTCCATTAAACTTTCAACGCCATTGAAAAGCATGTCATTATCCGTGTAAATATAATTTTTTAACGCCTGTCGTATGGGATTCATGTAAAATTTTACTTTTCTCCAATAATTTTGTGTGTTTTCTGTGTAGAGGCTTGAATAGAAAGAGTTTATATTTGGCACTCATGGAATTAAAATCGGCTCCATGATTCAATTGCTGTGAACCGTAGAGTAGGAAGAATTTTATATTGAAGGAAAAGGCATCATAACATCTTGCATCCTTGGTAATGAGTTGAATTTACGTTCTACTAGTGCTTAGGATTAATGAATTCGACGTAAAATGTGCAATCATCACACTATTTTCATGTCAATCAATTATATATGCATCAATCTCACGACTGAAATTAATGCTATCCGATAGGTATTATCTGTGTAATAACTGGACCTAATTTTATTAACTATTAAGGAACATATCGACTGATCCACTATACACCACAATGCATAAAATCAAACCTGGGCTGTGCGATACCACCTGAAAACATTTCAATCCCCAACCGTGTGATTCATTATCGAGAAATATCTAGAAAGTTGATCGCCAGATTTTCATATTCCTAATATAAACAGAAGTCTAGTGCGAACCTTAACAGGAGCTTGAATTATACGTATCCATCTGTAATGCGAGGCACGCACTTAATTAACATGCGACGTTTTGACTACAAGAAGCTGTGGCCGGCGCTTGTCTGGCCATTGACGTTGAGGCGGCGGTGGTGCGAGGGCCGTGCGACATCGAGCTTAGTGACAGCGGATGTGTTATTCAGATTTTGCTGCTTTTAACTTCAGATATTTTAGAATATTACCATATAACAAGTAAAAAAAGGTTCGTATTAAATTCAAGTTGTGCATGAAAATTGTTTACTAATGAGAGTTTACAATGAATTTTTTAGATCGGCTTTTCTCGATTTTCTTCTTGTAATCTCCGCCTTAAACACTCCAGTTGTTCATAGCGCACTTTCTAGAGGGTCAGTCCATAAGATGAAACTCACAAAGTTCAGAGTAAATGATTAGTAAATGTGTGTGCGCTTAATTTATACCTTTATTACTGAGAGTCAATGCAACGAAATTTAAAGAGAAATATGGGAAAATTTAAATGTTGTACCTAATATATTAATATTTAGAGACACATTGAATTAAGTTAGATCCATCTATATGCGAATCAAGATTCTAATAATTGCAGTTCCAACTAACGCCGAAGGGGCAAATTTTTGATATGTGGTTGGGTACGACATTTCTATCATAGTTAAAATAAACAAATGCCGTAATTAGAGTTCTGTAGTTAATTTATTAAGTTGTACTGCAAATTTTCAACTTGGTGTCACATAAAATTTTCAATATCTTGTTTCATTTGAAGGACTTAGTACAGTATTACTACTAACTGGAATGGCGTTGAACGTATGCAAGGATGACGCACTACAGTACACACGACATGCAATAGAGCAGCGAACACCTGCTGCTCTCTAATTGTGTGATGATCACTTGCACCACATATGAATCATCAGCACTCAACTTACATCCCACATCACACAGTAATCCTCATCACCACACTTTTAACCCTGGCACCACACATCCATCGAGTCCACCACACTTACATCTCACACAGCACACCCTGGACCACACATTTCCGCCACCAGCACCACACAATATTTATCCCTTGCTACAATATTCATGTTGCTTATATCCCTTACTACAATATTCATGTTGCTGCTTCCAATATTCGTACAGTCGCGTGAAGACGAGCAGCGAGTGAAGAAGATGCGCGTCTTGGTCCTGGCGAGTGTGTTGGCAGCGAGCGCTGCTCATCGTACGTACTTTAAATAACTTGTCAGCTCTTCGATCGAAATGTGTCATGAAAGTTACGAGTATATTTTTATTTACTATGAATCATTTATTTATCATGTTGATTTTTGCATGAACGCCTGTTTGATAGTGAACTTCAACTAAATTTCACTGGGAAAACCTTCACTTTGGAATTAGTTGATGATATTGGAACAGATGCAAAAGTGGTGAATCGACAATAAATATGAATAAAGTTTTTTCTTGTACTATTGGGCCCATAGTAGAATTAGTGAGGAAATTATAAGTGTAAAGTGTACTATTTACAATCGAAAGTCCCTAGATTGCTTTAACTTGTGTTATACAATTTTCGTGTGTGAATATGTTCATGATATACGAGTATGTCATCCTTAACGTTGTATAACATATTTTCATTTCTATGTGTACTTTGTTCCCAATAGGAGCATGGAACTCAGCAACGCGGTACTCTCAGTACAACAGGTCTCCATACTTTGGAGCAGCAGGTAAAATTCTTAGTGGTTTACGTTCTGAAATAAAGCATTAAATTGAGTAGCACTTGCAGCTGTGACCTTGTTGAATGATTGATCAAGTTTACCGCAAACGATGACGAAATCAGACACTTGTTTAGATGCCATTTACCGTCCAAACGTCATGCTGGAATTAATGTTACGGACAAGAATAATATATAAATAATATAGAAATATGGTTAAAATTAACATGCGTTCATTATCCCAAGCTTTATCTACAGCAGGAGCTTGGCAATCCCCCGCCGGGTTCTCTGAATACAGCATCTCGCCTACCTTTGGCGAAGCAGGTAAGACTTGTAATATCTTGAGCACAAAATTACTATTCGTCAGTATCGTTTGTTGTGTTAAGTTGGTGAATGAATCATAACGTTTGTCGCATTGAAAGACAAAACCAGACACTTGCTAAAATGATATTAACATCAGTTAACATCAGTTTTCTCTTGATAATGCGCTCGACGTACATAAGTATTAAATATAACAAGATTAAAAGCAACACTATTTTGAACAAGAATTTTATGATGCGTTTAGTGCTCTACACTTTGTTTCCAACAGCAGCTTAGCAGCCATATAAAGGGAATTTTGAGTGCAACCGATCGCCTTTGTTTGAAGAAGGTATTAGTTTTCCAGAATCTCAGTCGTAAATTTATGTTCTAATTGCCCGAAATTTAGTGTCTATCCTCTTATAAGCTTGAATTTCTGTCCCGGCTATAGATGAGTCGAAAACCGAAGTGAGTGCAGAAATATTTAAATACTCTCAAGAATTTTTCCCTCTTGACATCTCATTTCTATTTCTATTGCTTATTTTCCTTCTATCTCATGCTTATAACAAGTCTTGTTATAAGTGTAAGCACGCCTCGGTTTCTCAGCAGCCGTATATAAATTCATTTCAATGAGTGTCACAAATTTCCATTTTGTTTCCAAATTTTTGCTACAATTATGACATATCAATGTTTCTCCACACAATCAACGTGCTATATTATCAGTAATTAATCACAATGTTTAACCTCTTACAATTTAATTTGATTTTGAATTTTAAAATCAAGAATCAACCTCATTTAGTCAAACTTTTTCCATAGATTTCGACCCCTTCGCGGCGCAGTTCCCTTCGTGCAGAGGCTCCCGCCAGTCCCCCATTAACTTGGACCCGTACTCCTTCCCAGTGAAGGAGTTTGAGCCTTTCTACTTCCATCGGTATCACCAAATTCCTGAAGAAGAAAACATCATCAACAACGGACATTCAGGTCAAAAATAATATATATTTATATCAGTTGGAACACTAAATCTTTCTTGAAATGCGGGTGACAATATGTCCATAGACGTGTTTATTTTTAAGAATTCAAACGCAAAGAAAATAGTAAAAAAAAATTCCCCACTTTTCTAAAAAAGAAAACGTTACGGAGTCCAGCTCCATCGTCCGTTCGAAGCCGAGAACACAAATACCAAAAATTAGAATTCTCATAGAAATATTAAAATAGAAATTGTCAAATGAAAACAAAAGAAAACAAATAGAAATGAAGTAAGCGTTAACAGACAAACCTATCTATTTACAACTTAGAAGGGACAAGATCTGAAGGCAGCATTTAAACTAGGCTTCTCATTAAAAATATACCGGCATTCCAAAATTTGTAGTTCAGAAGCACCGGTTGTGAAGACTAAAACTCTAAAATCACTATCGGACGCCGGGACGCTGCGGTGCTCCGCATGAACGCCTACAGCTCAATAAGGGGGATGCGAAAGCGAGTTTCCTGTTCTAAATTCATCCCTTTGTGCTCCGCCAGCCAGGTATAAAAATTGCGTGATGTCAGACCGACAAACGCTGATGCGCACTGCGCGCAACAATATTGATAAACTAGGGGCATCGCACAGGAACAGGGAGAGCATCGTTATACAGGAAAAATCAGCTCATTTTAAAATTATTCACCAGTATGACATCAATTTTTGCTCGTCAATTTAGATTTTAATATCTTCAATGTGAATTTTAGTTTACTAATTTTTTATCCTTGTGATCTCGGTTTTTTAACTGATAATTGAAGTTGGCCTTATTTCTAAGTAAGTGGTAAAGTTTTGTGCCATTTTCTTAGCTTTTCAATTCTTGATTAGTTTGTGATTTAGAAAGCGAGTGATCTTAATACTTATAAATCAAGAATTTCGTTATAGCCAAACTATTGACCCCGTTCCTTTGGCATTATTTTATTGAATTCGTTGATAAACGTGTAAATCTTGACTGCTTATCAGGTAATATGTTCTTAGAGNCCCAGCCGGAAGTGTCAGGAGGCAACCTGGGTGCGACTTACAAGTTTGACCAATACCACCTCCACTGGGGAGCGGACGACGCCAGGGGCTCGGAGCACACCATTAACAATTTCAGGTATTCCGCTTTAAATATTCTGGAATCACTGCATATTTTTAAACAGAAGCTTTGTTTTAATAATGCGTACAGTTCTGCTGATCTTTTTGAAATTATAAATTGATAGGTTTTTATGTTCCGTTGTAGTTTCATCGTTGCAATTGTTTTAATCTCTTTCGTCTATAATTAGATTTCTTCTTGCATGTGATGAATATACTTGGCGTTTTCTCTGCTTTTAGATTCTTACCACGGTTATTTGCATTAAATCTTACATACGTTGACACGTTGACTCCGAAGTGGTACATATGCGTACCACGAAATTTATTTTTCCAGGAGGTAGTGGTACATAATTCAGGTTGCCTAAAATCGGCCAAATCCGAGAACAAAAAAGCCAAAAAAGGCCGATAACTCAATATGTACTAGTTTATTTGTAGGTTCCGCTATAAAAATTTCATTTATTTTCTTTTTGCAGTATTTAAAATTTATTTAGGAAGTACCCGTATCTTAAATTTTAGCCGGCCAACGCAATTGAGAAAAACTAAATCACGGAATTTGTCCGGAAAAAATGACCGTCTGGCAACCCTGCTAAAAACAGTACAAAAAATGAAATAATAGTACAAGATGAAGCAATCGTAGTCAACGTGTTAATTTGCGCTTAAAGTATGTTTACTGTTTTAACTTAACGGTGAGACCTTCTGGTGATTGACGCCAGAAGTTAGTTAATTAATTAATAGGTAATTGCTGCTATATTATCGAGTTATCTTCATACGTAGAAATTCATCAAGTAATAAATAAGGCCACAAGTCTCACAATATTAAGAATTTATTGAAACAACGCATGAGGGTTATTATGTACCTCACATGCACGAAATGCAAAAGATACTTTTTTAAAAGACTAGCATTTAAAAAAGGTTAAAATTTAAACTCATTCCAAAAGTAGGTAGGTACAAGCGCGTAGGTACTGAATATTTTTGTAGAGTAAGATATAACTAACTGAAGATCGTGTTTGAAGCCGTGCGGGTTCGGAATAAAACCCTTAAAGTCCATTGCGTTCATCGCGTACAACACTTAGGAAACCGTTGCTGTACATGGTAGCTCTTCACTTCACTTTGCTCAACGAGTACACTTGTGTCAACTTCACTCGTACACAAACTTGAGTTTGCAAGAAATTTGCTCCAGAAAGTTTCTCTGCAATTTTACTCAGTACTATTCATTCTATCAACTATTTCATTGCGATAAATCACTCGTTGTGTTGCCATCCTGCTGAATTCATGACTTAGACTTAAATGCAAATTCCTTTTATGACAGGAAGTTAGCCTAGTCTGAATGCCGCTTTTAGCTCATTTCCTCTTGAAATAGTAAATAGATAGGCCGTTTACGTTTACTAGCATTATTTTCATGTCTTATCTATTTATTTTAAGTGCATTTTACTTTACTAATTGATTTATTTGTGTTTCTAGGACTGAACTTTTTCGGAACAGAATTTTGTGCTTTGAACTGACGATGGAGCTGGACTCCGAAACGTTTTCTCTTAATATGGTGAATTTTTGTGGTATTTTCTTTGCTTTTAAATTCCTGGTTAACTTGCGATTCAAGCAAACAAGTGATTTAAATACTTAAACAGAGCTTTGTTTTAATAATGCGTACAGTTCTGCTGATCCTTTTGAAATTGTAAAGCGATATGTTTTTATGTTCCGTTGTCGTTTCATAGTTAGATTTACGGTTAGATTTTCTCTTGCATTGTAGCGGGACGACTAGCTTCATTCAAATATCAAGGGTCGGTGCCCTCGGGCCCTAACATACGAGGTATGTTGACACCTCAAAGTCCATTGCGTTCATCTAATAGTTACGTGTACAACACTTAGGGAACGGCTGCTGTACATGGTACCTCTTCACTTTAATTTGCTAAAAGAGTGAACCATCAAGTTCGCAAGAAATTTGCTCCAGAATGTTTTTTTTTTATTTTACTTAGGGCTATTTATTCTGTCAACTATTTCATTGAGTTAAATCACTCATTATGTTGCCCTACAGCTAAATTGATTATTTATGAGACTTAAATGCAAATTCCTTTTATGACAGGAAGTAGCGTTATGTTTGCCTGATTAATATTTGCTTCTTGTTTATTCGTATAGTAATTTCGGACCGATATACATAGATGAATAATTATTTTGAAACACCAACAGCAGCTCAAAAAGTCTGCAAAGCAACAAAAAATCTGCTTCACCCTTACGGCCAGAATGCATCGCTCACAGAAGTTGAGTATATTTATACTAGTTCGAAACTACATCTTGTGCAAGGTTCCCCATGGAGCTTCACTTGGTGCACCACAATACAAAGTACGCCAGCTTTAATGCTTCCCTGGAACACCGCGACGGCGTGGCGGTGCTGGGTGTGCTGTTCGTCATCTCTGAATTGGACAACCCGTTGCTGCAACCTCTGATCGATCACCTCATGTCCATCACTGAAGCTGGTGGGTCAACGAGAATTCGTTCTCTTCTCAGCGCCAAGGTATGAATCAAATATTAGCAATTACTTTAAGTTATTCGTCAATGGAATGAATAAATTTGATAATTTTTTTGTGGAGGACTTACGGCGCAGTTAAAGCGCTTAACTTCATATAGGCTACTGTACCCTGTAGCATACCTGCGTATGAGAATGAATATGCAAGTGATGGTGGCACTGGGCAGTGGTGACCACTGACATGCGTCCCAAGAAACACCGGCCTCATGAGACGCTAACATCTGAGAGATAACATTTTAACATCATCTGAGATAACATCTTACATAAACTACTGAGTTTGGATTAAGACATGAAGCATAAACTTCCAATATCCTTTGTGATATATAACAATATATGTATATAGTGTAGTGCTATCACTAAATTCCAGCAAAGATCACTGAAAAAATTGGCCACAAGTCTCACAATATTAGATATTCATGAATTCACGCATGAGGGTTACTATGTGTACCTCACCTGCACAAAATGCTAAAGATATATTTCTAAAAAAAACTAGCATTGAGATAGCACAGATTAAAATTTGAATTCCTCATCCCAAAAGTAGTTATAGGTACAAGCACTTAATCTTGTGTTTTCCTCAAAATCCTTGTACGTATCAATTGGCCGACATGTTGCAAACATGCATGTGAGGTAATTATAGTGACATTCATTTCGTTGACGGGAGAATAGATCGAAGTAACAATTTTTTCATATATTGCACTGTAACTATTATCAAAAATTCAATTCCTCCACTGCTTGTTCATTCTAATATCTGAGGAAGATTGTGGTGTCGTCTAATTTCCTCTGCGTCATAAGATCATGAAAGAATTCATCGCACAAACACGAAGTTTTTCCGCCAAAATATCAGTTGAATCAATAAACTATAACTGCTGTGTCATTTGCGCAGGGCAAGAGGACTTGGCAGTCGATCTTTACCCACTGGCGTCGTTATTGCCTCAAAATCGGTCCCACCACAATATCAATTGAATCAATAAACTATAACTGCTGTGTCATTTGCGCAGGGCAAGAGGACATTGCAGTCGATCTTTACCCGCTGGCGTCGTTATTGCCTCAAGATCGGTCCCGCTTCTACCGCTACCACGGATCCCTCACAACTCCCATGTGCAATGAAGTCGTCACGTGGACCATCTTCGACGACTATCTTCCCGTGTCCGATGCTCAGGTAGCGTAAATACAATAGCTCAACGGCAGCATAATCCTGCTTGGTTCTGCATTGATAGTTCCTTTTATTTCAGAATCCCGCTGATAATTCTCTAACTAAAGTAATGAAGTAATGATTATTCAACAAGTCCACTCACACCTGCAATCTTGTGTAAGAAGACACGTCTGCTGTGAAACGTCTCGTGAGCTGCCCATTTTTCTTTCACTTTTTTGCATTCATTCAGGATAAAGCATTGAAATGGTAATAACAATAATATTTCCACTTTATCGCATAACATTGAATAACTAATGAAAAATTTATCAACCAATATTAAGGAAGAGGCAAGTTATTATCAACAAATACGTGTATTTTACCTTAACCAAACTTGAAATATAAATTACATTAAAATGGATGCTCTAAGTAACATTACAAATATTAAAACTAAAAAACCGCAATTTAGATCAATTCGAATATTTAATACAGACAAATGTACCTAGAGGTACTAAAGCACCTAAGCGCAATGAGTGCGGATTGAACGTGGATGAACATTTTACGTTTCACAGATGGCGAGACTAAGAAGCCTGTCCAACATCGAGGGCAACCCTCTCGTCAACAACTTCAGGCCCAACCAGCCTCTCAACGGCAGGGCGGTGAGTTTATGACTAATGCATCAATATACATCGAGGAATGAATGGTGTTGTATACAGCTGACAAAGATTGTGTTTCAACTTTAATTCAATCATAGTCATTTTTCTAAGATAGTAAAATTGAATTAAGATTTGTCGTTGATGATGAACAACTCGCAGAAGATTACAGTTTCGAAAAATGTCTATAATTCATCATTATAGACATTATAGGCAATTCATCATTTTAAGATCCTGTGGGCTAACTACACCACGATAATAACTATCTAGCTACTACTCGTGTGCAAAAACACACAATTAAAAGACGAATATAATCGTGGAAAGAAGCTCCAGATACCAAGACACTACAATTCCTGGCCCTGGTGAAGATATGAAGATGACAGAACAATTAAAAATAGTTCCCAGAGCAAAATTGTAAATCGGGACGATAATAATGTTCAAAATTTGAAAATTATATTCTGGACAAACCGAAACGTTAGGAGACAGCTGGATATAAGGAATGGGCAGTAGACTTTGGGTTAAGATCGTTATGGAAAAGTATCTTAATAATCAGATTTTGTTTTAAACTTTTCAGCGAGCCTTCGCTCATAGCGATTTTGTTTTTAACATTTAAGAGAGCCTCTGCTCAATAAGAATATTATAGGTTTACCTATCAGGAAAATAAGGTGGACATTTATTATTCAAGTTACCAGCTGCTGGCTGCCACTCGCTAGTTGCCCTTGAAGCAGCTGGTATCCATGTACACGCGACCACGTACCTAATAACTAGTGGCGGTTAGTACTTGCCAGGTAGAGTTGCTCCTGCAACAGGCCGCGTGTAAACGCACCTTATGCGCCGGCCAGTTATGAGGGGTTGTGAGGCTGTCACACTTCCAATTTACTCTCACTCATTTGCAAGTAGAGAAATGGACATTAGAGATATCCTTCCGCATAATTGTGTGCCTAAAATACTGGGTAAAGACGCTTTGTTTCAAGCAAAATATCGGAAAAACACCGTGATTAATTTCCAATCAAGATGTAATTTTTATGCATTGTTAAGTATCATTTAAAAAGATTTGCATTTTGAATAATTTTATCTTATGCTCTTATTTTGTTCGAGACATCGCGCCTCGTCTCGGTATTGCGCGGATTTCCTCAGAAAGTTGAAAAATTTACTGAATTTTTATCGTTCATTTGAACAGAGCTTCTTTCCCTTGACATACAAAAAGTGCTAAACGCAGGAGCCTAGTGGCCTTTGCTACGGCTGGATTGGCTTGTTCCCAAGCAAAAATACGTAACAGTTGAATTCTTCCATTTCCTTGGGTAGTTTCCCAGATATCAATTGTTAATTTGACTTATTTTTAGAGAAAATTGCATTCAAATTTATGCGTGCTGCTTGTACCCAAAACAATTAGAATTGACGCCTATTTTTACAGCACTTCTCATCAACTTCACTTCTTGTTGTTTGTTTGTTTGTTGTTCTGTCTGCTACAAATCTTATAATCGATATTTAACACACTTCTACCTGCCCAATCAATTTGAATTTTTTTCACACTTGCGTAAAGTCAGAGACAATGCATGAATCAATTGACAGAATAAATAATTTTTAAAATTTAGAAAAAAATTTATTATTGGACAAGAATGTAAAAAAATTATTTTTTTTATATAAATAAAAAAATATTCATTGTACATTAGTAACATTGGAGACACTGGCCTCTTCAGAAGTGTTGTCTTCAAAAAATAATACAACTTACATGCATATTATTTTAAATGTTATCCTCTGCTTAGAATTCAACCTGGATTATTGCTAAATTACAATTAGCGACGAATACGCGTTGAACTAAGCGAATTATTTCGTGAAGATGGTCTGTAAATATTTTGTTTCAAGGTCCAAATTTTGCTTCGAGGTCAGGTCATTATTTATTCCTCAGACGATGATGCACAGAAGGCTAGACAGGATGTCAGGATCGTGACCGGATGCTCTTTTTTTTCAGGTGTACCGCTCCTTCTTGTATTGAGTCGCTCAGCTGCGCTGCTCGTCATATTGCATGTACAACGATTTTCTCCACTCAATTGCACTCCACGAATTATATAATCTCGATTATTATTGAAATAATTGAATGCAAATTTTTCATCCAACATGAGTAGATTTTATTTTTTTCACATAGGATTTAATCATAAAAAAATGACTGGAGAAATCATAAAGATATTCAAGCGTTAAACAGTTCATTTTGTTGATAAGTTTTGAGGTAAGACTTTCTATTAAAGTCGGATTTCAAATAAAAACTAATAATTTTTATTATATCATCAGGCATGTTCGATATGAATGATTTATCTGTAATGTATAATATTAATATGATTGCTAAGGTATTCAATTTATGAAACTTTTCAACACTTTAACAAATTATTTCAACAATAATCATAATCTTAAAAGTATTTTTATTATAAGCATACGTTAGCAAGAATTTATTGATGACCTTATTGCGAAAAAACAGCCCGTACTTCGGATTTGCCTCTTGCGATAATTTCCGTCTTGTGTTTCAGATTGTGAATGTGTTAATTAGGATCTAATCATAATAACTTGCCTGTTAAAACAAGCAAGACAATCGTCAATCCGTCTATTCATGAGCGGTATCTAGTAAGGCGAATTTCATGATCACAAAGTAAGTCGTATATGCTGTGAAATTTCTATTTAATTCAGATTGAGTTGCACGAGCATGCGCCTTGATTTGCCCGAGAATTCAACCCGAGCTGAAGTCTAATGAGACAAATTGCCTTCCTCGTGGCTGTGAAAATTGTCATTTAGAATCTGCCTGTTAATTCTATATGATCAGGAAAATAACCGTGTGAAAATAAATTTATAGGCTTCAAGTGTTTGCTTCATCTCCTGTTATCACAAATGTATGTTATCGATTCGCACATTATAGACTTCAAAGTTTGTTAGTTCATAATGTCCTATTATATCGTAAGTAATCACATATGAGTGGGCAATTTCATCCCTACTTAGTTTGCCAAATTTAATGCAGTCAACGAATTTTCAAGAATTTAATGCAATGCAATTTATTTCATGTTTTGCCCAATTTGATGAGCTTTGTTCTACATGTACAAAAATCATTTCACAGCGCAAAAATAGTGACCACATATCAAGCTCAAATCTCATCCTACGAGAAGCCATGTACGATACAAGTGAATTGGCACTACATTAAAATCATTTAAATCCTTCGTTTACTATAAAAAAAATACGACGAGTCAAAATAATACCAGAAATGTCTCTGACTTTCATAGAAGTAAGTAATAGATTCTATTTGCGATTGCGAAGAATTAACCAAGTAACTATTACTCGTGGCATAAAGTCGAAAAAAAAAGATTTTCAAATTGTGATTCAGATTTTCAAATTGTGCAATAACTTTAATCCCAGTAACACGAAGTGTTTTCACTGTATTTCTAAATCTATGCCCAGCTTCTAAAAAATTATTTGCAAACTCTCGGGTTGTCCTTAAACACAAGCATCAGTACCACTCTGAAGGCGCCTACGTAATAGTGAAGTATTTAGACACGTTTAATATTATTAACAAATTAACTAGAAGCTGAATATAATAATAAATATTAGCAGCATGAACCTTTTCAATTAATCCTAAGCATTTTAATCTTCCAACTAATTCGGGTATGGCTGTTTAACCCTAAAATGCACCATAAAATACGTTTAATATAGTAGTCATTCATTGAATATATGCTTATGAAGCTAGTTGAATAATCGATGCTCTTACTTTCAGATTTATTGTTCCGTTAAACTTGAAATGCTTAACTAATACAAACGGAGCAAAAAATAATATCAGGGATAAGTTGCATGCAGCAAGAAGATCATTTCAGTTACGATACAGAATAAATTGGTCGCTCAACCCAACTTTAATATGATACCGGCACAATAAAAGAGAACATTATTAGGTTCAATATATTTTCATGCCCAATAATTTAAAGAGAATCAAGGTAATGTGTGGGTTAGAGGATATCTTTAGGAACCTATTTTTCAAAGTCGTACAAGCCAAATAGAAAAGAAATCAATCAGTTTTTTAGGCTGTTGTGGGGTTTTATTCCCTACGCTGGAGGTAATCCTCTTCTAGGAATGATCAAAAGGTAAGCGCAAAGCAGGATTTAAATAAGTGATCATCAATTAAGGCATTTTATTAAGAATTTATTCAAAGCTTCTCCTTTTAGTGGGCAGTTCTTCATATTTAAAGGCAGTTGAAATCCATTTATAGACAGCTGCGTCCAGGTTTAATTTAATTTGGCAGAAAGGCAGCAGATGTTGACGATTACTCGAGATACTGGTAAAACAAACGCATTATTACAATAGAGTCAATAAGCTTGTAAAAAGTAATAATTCAAATATTTCAGTAGTTAATCAGAAGTAGTTCAGAAGTATACGCTAATAAAAGCTTATGGCTCACCTTAATCAATTAAGATTAAGTGCACAAATTGCGTAGTGCTTTTAGAAGTATAAATCAATTATTGTAGTAATTATTAATGATTTAATTTAACGCGCGGCAGTTCCGAACATAAATATGGGTCACCTTAGTATAGAGAATGACCACCTTGGCCAGTCAAGGNCTAATGAGCTTCACAAGCGAAAATCCTGACAACGATAAATCATGATATCCATGTGACAACATTTCTTCTCGCTTCGAGTCACCGACATGTGGAACAGCCTCCCTGATAGCATCGTTGACGCTCCGAGTATGAACGCCTTCAATAACAGACTAGAGTCACTAGACGAAGCTATGCACCAGTCTAATCCAGACCACCACATTCGTCTGGTCTGAGCAACGTGCAACTGACGATTCTTCGGTCGCAATTCCTGGCCTTTTAAAGCAGTTCTTTCTCACGTAACCTTCTTCCTTGCAGTCTTAAGTGTAATTTTCCAAGAATAACACTCGTATTTTACGAAGATAAAAGAGACATTCTTAAAGATAGAGGACTCATGAACAAAAAATATGTATTTACAAAAAGCTTAATATTATGTTAAAGCTTCTGAAGTTCTCTTTAGCACATGAAAATTGCATTTATTTTCTTGTCTTGTCTGTAGTCATCGAAGCCTTCCACATCATTTGAAGCTCTGTTGGATGTGATTTTCATCTTCACAAGTCCTTAGTTCGATCTGTTGGCTGGTGCAACAATTGGTCTTATTTATTGGTCTTATTAAAGTTCGGACACGTGTAATTTTACATTTAGTGTTTTAATTTAAATCAATTTTGACATGCCTTGTTTAGGCATAATAAATGTACTTATTCATTCTTTTTTTGATTAATCCCTAGCGGAGGTACTTATTAGAATTTGGTCTGTTTATTGTGTATTAATCTTCTTGATCGATTAATGGTGGTTGTCTAGATGAAAATGGATATTGTAATTTATATCACACTATTAGTTTTGTTTAAGTTTTGCGTTGTACACTGCTTTGGTTAGGTTATTACAAGTTCTTAATTTTGTTTATATGTTTCAGAAAGGCTCCGAAGCTTGATTCCGAAGTTAGGAGAAGAGTTAAGGGGAGACACGCTGTATAGTTGTATTTTGGCATTTGAAATTTGTTATTATAGTTTTCATTTATCTATTTTATTCATCCTTTACTTACGATCATTGGTCAAATGTTTAATCCTGAAAAGTTTACTTCAATCATTTATTTCACGATCACCATTAGATGAAATATGTTAACCTATCGATAAAACTGATCTTATGACCTACGGCCAGCAATCTATTCCATGCCTGCCAATTTGCGATACGAGTAACCAGTCTATCGTTTTAATTCTTGAAAATGCCAAGATATACCAACGAATTGTGGTCGACTTCAAGTAGGTCTTCTTGTCCAAGAAGATAGTCACGGAATTTTTTCTGTATCCTCGACAAGCTTAAGACATTCCTTCTCGATTGTGGAATATTTTTTCTCCTCGGCTTGGAGTTTCCTGCTGATGTATGCAACAGCTTCCCAGTCAGAAATCGCCGCAGTCTGGAAGCCAGCCGCACTTTCAGCCACCCTTTCACTCTCCACCACAAACTTCCAGCTCTCTTGATCCTGTTATTCACATCCACTTCCGAACTCACCCAGCTCCCAAGTACTCTGATTTCACCCCCCTCTTCCGTCCCAAACTCAAGCACCTCCTCTTTCTCCTCGTTGTTTCGTTCCTCCTACTGATTCATCACTTTTCACTGCTCTCACACCATTCTCAATCTCACTCTTCACACCCACAATCGTAGTGTCATCCGCAAACAAAGCCAAGGACACTCTCACTCTCACACACTCACTACTCCCCTTCTCCCATGCACTCTCTCCAGCAAACGAACCCCCTGACACCCATCTCCACGTCACCCCCACCTCTTCACCCCCGCTTCTTCTCGCCACCTCTGCTTGCCTCATAACCGCCTGATGGCACACATTAAACAAAATGGGGGACGTGGAGCACGCCTCTCGCAGGCACCCATCTTTCACTCACTCCCTCCTTCCCTCTCACCTTGTAAACAGTCGACTCATGTAAATCCACAATCGTATCCAGACATTTCCCTTTCATTCCATACCTCTCAAGCACCTCCACAAACCCGGTTTGTTCACTCTCGGATACGCTTTTCTCAAATCCAGCAGTCTCGCCACAGGCCACTCCTCTTCATTCATGCCCCCATTCTCATTCTGTTCCATTCTTCTCTTCAAATCAACCACGTCCTCTTGCATACGAACCATCATTTGCACCACATCCGCTGTCGACCTACCCTTTCGAAAACCTGACTGTTCCTCATCCAACAATCCTAAATACTAAGCCCACCATGCCACTCTCTTCGCTATCACCCTCGCTAGTATTCTGCTCCCCATACTCAACAGACATAGCCCCCTATAGTTATTACAGTCATTTCTATCACCCTTCTTGTATAACGGAATCATAACGCCTACTTTCAAAGATTCATCCCAAGCATCAGCTCTCTTCACAAACATTTCTCTCACCAACTCAATCACTCTGTCTCTCACTCCTTCATCCGACCACTTAATATATCCAATCCTCACTCTAGCTTCCCAAGGCGCCGACTATTTCATATCTTCCATAGCCGCAACAATCTCTTTTTTTCAGGCACTTCATTCAGTCGATCATTTGCCTCTTTCGCTCTTTCACACT